ATCCTCGGTCCCACCGGTCCCCGGTCCCACCGCCTCCCGGCCCCAGCGATCCCCAGCCCCGCCGTACCCCGGTCCCACTAGTCCCCGGCTCCATCGGTCCCCGGTCCCCCGGTCCCTCCGCACCCCGGTCCCACCGGTCCCAGGTCCCGCCGCCCCCCGGTCCCACCGCCACTCACTCGCTGCAGTCGGCGACGCAGAGGCGGCAGGCGCCGTCCTTGAGGCGGCAGGCGGCGCGGTTGGCCAGCAGCACGCTGCGCTCCTCGGCGGCGGCCTCCCCTGTACCGGGACACAAGCGGGAGAAAGGTTCACCCCGGGGTCCTCCCGCCGCCCTCCCGCCCGTCCCCCCCGGGGGACACGCCGTACCTGCGGCCTCCAGCAGCGCCAGGGCGCGGGTGTAGAGCTCGGCGGCCGCCCCGTACTGCCCGCGGCGGAACTCCTCATTGCCGGCCCGACGCAGGGAACCAGGCGACGCCGCCATGGTCGCGCCGGGCCGGGACCGAGAGAGACCACGCCCCTCCCGCCGGCACCAGGGGCGGGGCTTAGTCAGACCACGCCCCCTCCGCAGACTCCCATGTAGGGGGTCCGAATAGACCCCGCCCCTCCGGCGGGGAGGGGAGGCGGGGCTTGGGGAGACCACGCCCCCTCGCGCAGGGTGGACGCTCCCCGCTGGCTTCCGGCGGCGGGCGGAAGTGCCGGCGCGGAGCGGCGGGCTGCCATGGAGGAGTGAGGGGGGAGACCGACCCAGCGACTGCCGCCCCGCAGCGCCATGGAGACGGTACAGCTGCGGAACCCGCGCCGGTGAGCAGCGGGGAGAGGGGAGGGGGGGGCGTGTGCGTGTGTGCGCATCCTCTGTGGGGACCGGGCGTGCTGCTGTCCGGTCCGCCTGTCTGTGTGCGCTGCGGCCTTCCTCTCTCCGGCGCGCCCCGGGCCTGAGGGCTGCCGGTGCAGGGTCTGAGAGGTGCCGGTGCGGGGTCTGAGGCGGCGGGAGCGGGGCAGCCGGGTGGGAGAGGGGCAGCCGGCCGCTCCGGGGCCCGGCCGGCACACGCCGCCCCGCAGCGGCTGGCGGAAGGCTGGGGCCGCTGGCGTCGGTCGCTTCTTAGCGGGGTGAAACCGGGCAGCGCCGGGCGGTGACAGCGCCGAGCTCCGGTGGTGGAAAACCGGCTTAAATTGAACTCTCGGAGCCCGGAGGAGAGGCGGGAGGCGCGTCCCGGTGGTGACAGAGCCTCCGGGAGCTTATTCTTTCCTTTGGGTGAGTTCCGTGCAGGTTGGTGACCCTCACCCTCTCGGTACAGCCTGCCTTCCCGGCCCGGGCACGGCGGCGGGGGGCGAGCCCGGCTCGGCCAGGGGCTTCGGGGCCACCTCCGAGCGAAGCCGTGAGCCAGCGGTCCCCGAGCGGCGGGGCGGAGCGGGGCGGCGGGGCTTTGACCGGAGGGAGCGGCGGGCGGTCGGAGCGCTATCGCCCCTTTGCAGCTGGGGCCCTTGGGCTGCCCAAAGGAAGCTGCTGCCTCTGGGCTTCAGCGACACGGACTCGGAGCGCTATCGCCCCTGTGCAGCTGGGGCCTTTGGGCTGCCCAAAGGAAGCTGCTGGCTCTGGGCTTCAGCGACACGGCCTTTTTTGTGTTAATCAACACCCAGCAACGTATCTTCTACCTAAAAAAAACACCCTTCTGTATTTATTCTATAATTGCCTATGCCTGGAAGGTGATTCTGATTAGATGCGAATAACAGCACGGGTGAGATGGGGTTTGTGTGGCTGTTATATCCGTGTTGGATGAAGGTGCAGTAAAAAGGCAGAGGGTGTCTGACAGCAGTGACTGCGCTGGGCAAACAGGACAGGGCAAGGGATTGCACTCCTGGACTGCAGCAGAAATGAAGGAGTTTGATGCAAGTGCAATAGTTGTCTGGCTATTGTGTTTGGCTATGTGAAAAGCTACCTTTTTTTTTCCTTTTCTTTTAATTAGCACTTAGGTCTCAACTTCAGCAAGAAGGATCTGCCTCTTGCATCGCCACTTTTTGGGCTCCTTGGAAATGGCAGCTTGTGTGATCACTGATACATATATATTTTTTTTCCCCTTTTCTCCTCTTCCCACACCTCCCCGTTTTCACAAGGACAAGTGACATTGTGTTGTTTAACACTTGTCTTTGCAGGGAAGCTAGTGACTACTTTCAGTATTTCACCACTTCCTGAGTCTGCTTCTTTATCATGTTTCCTTTGCTTCAGGAAGCCATTGTTCGTACTCCACGCCTCAGCTGCTTCTCCTCTACCGCTTTTGTGCATAATAGCTGGGGGTCAATGAGCGGTTGCTCACTCTTTCTAAGGAAATTGGAGAGGAAAAAATACATATTTAGTATCAAAATTAGCATGCCCATCCTGGAGCCGGGATCTTTAACAGCAGCAGTAAGTGCTTTCAGTAGTAATTTGCAGTTGTAGGTGACTGCGCATGTTTCATTTTAAGCGCTGCTCGCTGTGAGACCAGTAAGTTCTGAAAACTCCAAGACTAACAAGTTTCTGGGTTTCAAAAGCTTGCGTGAGCCAGTTTGGGGAATTTGGAGGTTTTTTTGTTTGGGTGGTTTTTGTGGTTTTTGTTGTTGCTTCAGATTTATTTTTATTTTTTAGTTTCTGTGAAAATGAAAGAGCGTTTGTTTGTGGGCTGTTTGATACTGTTTGACAGTAAAATACTTTGTTTTGAGAACTTTTTATTTCTTATGTAATCTTTACCTATTTCAGGAGGTTTCCTGGTGAACCGCTCTCCAGTGCGGTAGCAATGGACTGAAACAAATGTGCTTGATCTTGTTGCATTACGTACAGAATCTCGCTGAAAGTTGTACCGGGGGTGAGGGGGGCGAAGCAAAAGATCACAGTACATACTGTGGTAGCAATGCGTTTAAAAAGGGGGTTGAGCCAAGCAGTATTACTATCCTGAAAAAGTCAGGTTATCAGTTTTGGGGTGTTTTTTTTTGTCTTTATGGAATTATCCTAGTGTATGCCCAGGCCCTCAAAGTTAAGATCCGAACTTCTGATGTTAAAAATGTCCAGGCAAGATCAATATTGCCTCCTTCCTCCCTCCCAACAAATGTATTCCACACGTGCTCTCAGGCATCAGGGAAGATGATGTTCCCTTTTGCGTGACCTTAATATTTATTCTTCCATTCAAGATATTGCCCTTTAGCAGATGTGTCCAATAGCTGCGAGACTCTGCGGTGCTGTGTTGGGATTTGACCACCAGCCTAGAGATTCTGAGATGTGTTTCCACCAAGAGGAACTGTAAATTTGTGTACCTGATCAAATTACGTTCTGTGTAGTTCCCAGTCCTCTTTTGCTGTTGGATGCTAATAATATTTGGTCTCCTGGTCAGGTGAAATAAACTTACTTCACAAACAATTTACTTTATGCTAAGCCTTGTGTACATTTAAGTGGCACTCTTTATTCTTCTGTCTCAACAAAGCCCAAACTGACATAAAATTAAGTGTCATAATTTCTCTGTTCTTACACTTGCAGGCAGCTGAAGAAGTTAGATGAAGACAGTTTAACCAAACAGCCTGAAGAAGTATTTGATGTTTTGGAGAAGCTTGGAGAAGGGTATGTGTTCTATGTGCCCAATGTATGTTTCTCTAAGAACAAATCTATGTAATGGGGATGTGTTCTGATTTTTTTTCACTTCTGTCATGATCCTGTTACTGCAAAGGTACGTACTGACATAGTGAGTGTGTTTGGTTAGTAAGAGAATAAAGACTTGGTTTCCCAAAAGTAAGATACCTTAATCCAAACAGTAGCTTACGGCTCAGCAGCAGGGAGTCAGCACACTTGAAAAATGCCAGCCTGGAGTTGATAGGGCTCTGTGGGAACTCAAGAGGTTTTGTAGTTCATCCCTGGTACCTCTTGTGGAAGATCAGTGTGGTGGAAATGAACTTGTCTTGCATTGTGCCACTTGGTAGGGCAGAGCAGCATGGGAGCGCTCGGTGAGTGACATGTTTGCCTTCTTAAGCAGTTCATTTGAAAAAGCTGAACTGTAAATCTGCCTGGCTGCTGTAAGTAAAGAAGCTGGAAATAAGATAGATAATATCTGACAAGAATTAGCAAACCTCTCTGACCAGAGCTGTAGTTCTTACTGATTCTCTGCTGGTACTGTTGCTGCAAAAAGGGAGAATTGTATTTGGATTTGTGTAAAGGGCCTTTCCAAAGCTCAGAGCAGTGTAATGGTGCTTGGCTTATTTCTGATTGTCACAGTGTGCTGTGATTTATTTGTATTATTACAGTGTTTAAAAGCTAGTGGACTGATTATTTACATTAAAATATAAAACATTTTTAGCAGGGTAGTTAACTTTTACCTGATGTCTGCACTTGCAAAAAGCAAAACTGTAGTATTTCCTTTTCTAAAATGTTACTGTATTCAGTGCTTGTTTAATATTTTGTTTTGTAGTTCCTATGGCAGTGTATTCAAAGCCATTCATAAAGAAACGGGTCAAGTAGTTGCAATTAAACAAGTTCCTGTGGAATCTGACCTGCAAGAGATTATAAAGGAAATCTCCATAATGCAGCAATGTGACAGGTAAATGTATAGAGCAAACCCCATTATCACTATGTAAGAAAAGTATTGTCTGTGATCTGGCATTTAATCAAATAAAAGCCACGATGTTGCCTTAAATGTTTTTTAAAAGGCTGGACTTGTACCATCAAGTTACCTCATATCAACTGAGTGATGTTAACTGAGCGTTTGGGTAGTGTTAACCCAGGCAAAGGTAAGATGATATGAATTTAGCTTCCACGGAGAGAGCGTTACGCTGAGTGGAATAACCTTGCACTCGCTGCCAGCAACGAGCCAAGCGTGTGAGCAGTGACCGCGCTTCCCCCCACGCCCCGTCGCTTGTTGGACGGTGGTAACTTGATTGTGTGCTACAGCAGCATCTCCCGCGCCCAGAGGGGTGGTGACTTCTTTGATATGGACGTAGAAAACTGCTAGAAGAGGGATTTTTGGTTGTTTTTAAGGGCCACGCGGATGAGAGCTGCTGCTGCATGGCTGCTCGTGCATGTGCGTAATGGACGTGCTGTCATCTGCTCGGGTGGCAGAGTTGTCCTTCCTGGCTGTTTTTCTGCCTGCGCAGGTTCTGGCGCGGTACGAGCTCGCTGCTGATCTGAGCATCCCCAGAATAACTCGCTGGCAGCTCTTGCAGCTGGGGGCTGGCCCTCTGGGTTGTCTTTGCATGTTCCTTGTGGGCAAAGATGTTGTACTAACTTCGCTAACGAAGAGCTCGTGGGTGCAGAAGGCCCCCTCTCCAAGTGTGTCTTGGGCTGAAAGTTCAAAATCCACTATTTTACCTGGTATCAGGCACCTCGCCTTAAGAAACACTACTTTCGACCTCAGGCATGGAAAACCACTTAAAATAAGTTACATTAGCAATATAAAACTAAGGTCCCGGTCACTCTGTTGCACTTCACTTTCACTATCTTTAAATGAAGGTGATTGGGTGGCAGACAACAAAACGTCAGTTTAAAAGAATTTGTTTGTGAAAAAGTCTTACTGCATAACTTGGAAAGCATTGTTATGTGTCTCCTTCTTAAAAGAAATTAAATATTAACGTTGTAAGGCCTAAAATGAGAGCTTACAGCTATGAACAGCAGAGGGAGTTCATCACTGGAGCATCTCATTTTTTGTGCAAGCATTAAGGCACACTGTGCGGTGTGACTGACTTGCTAGTTTTGAGGGAGTTCATCACTGGAGCATCTCATTTTCTGTGCAAGCGTTAAGGCACACTGTGTGGTGTGACTGAATTTATAGTTTTACAGTTTTCCATTAGAAAATATTCAGCAGAGAACAGATTAAGCACGCTTTTGTTCCTTTGCTCCATTCCCATAAGATCAGGAATGGTCTGTCCGTTTGTTTGCTGCTTTACCTTTCCAGAGGACAGATCCAAATTCTGCCCAATGCACTTTACGAGTTGGTTTGCTTTTTGGGCAGCCAGATGTGAATGACAGTCTTAGGTTGTTGTGCATTCCTAAAATACATCCTCAACTAAATTGTAGAAATGAGTAGGTGCATGTGGTAGTGGGGGAACATTCTTTTTAATGAAGATTATAGCTATTTTCCAGCAAACTCTGGACCTTATTTAGTGGTTTGATTTGGTTACAGGTGCTGTGCAGCAGCTTTACCAGGGGCTGGTCCATTTCTCATTCCCGTGTCCTCCCTTCTTGCTTGCCATGGCACTGACCCCGTAATGCGGTTCAGGGAGCTAAACCAGGTTGAAGGCTGGTTGCTCCTTATTTCTGTAGGCTTTATTTTCAGAGAGTTTAGCTCTGAACTGCCTTAGCAGCAGGTCAGATGAGCAGCGCTGTGGGGCAGGGGCTTGGCAGGATTGCAGTAGCCCTGGGTGAGTTCAGATTGTTTTGGATACTTTTGATCAGGGTTCCAGTGCCCCTTCAACTCTGAGTTTCTAAAACATACGTAGGGACTCTGCAGTGTATTTTGGTTACTCAGTTATGTTGGGTACTGATATTTCACCCTTTGTTTTCTTCTCCTTTTTTCACGTTTCATAGTCCTCATGTGGTGAAATATTACGGCAGCTATTTTAAGAACACCGACCTGTGGATAGTCATGGAGTACTGCGGCGCTGGATCCGTCTCTGATATTATTCGATTACGAAATAAAACTGTACGTCATTTCTCCTTTGAATGCATAATGGGAAGTGTGGGTGTCCAGCCACTCAAGGAAGTGGAGTAATTTGGGCATAATTCTCCTGGTGTTCAAGGCCTGACACAACCATTGGCCGTGGCTTGAGATCCAAGTCCTTTGTTCCTCTGAAAATGGGAAAACTGATTACATTGGTTGAGTTTTCGTTACCTGGATAATGTAGTTGGTGGAGCAGATTTTGAGTTGTTGACTTTTCAGAAAACCCAGGCTGATTCCAAGTAACAGCTTCTACTTTTCCTTACTTTGGTTATTGCAGGATAGGAATTAATGTTTGAGAAGGGATTTTGGTATATGAAATATGGTACATGTGTATATGTGTGCTGCTTGTAATCTAATTCTACTACATAATACTGTAAGTCACTAACTGATTTCCCATTAGTATGGCAACCTTTAGTAAAGGCAATTAAATGGTAATTAGCGAATCTCAGGAAAACATAGACTGAAACACAATAGTGTTACATCTCAGCAACTGGGAGGTTGGCAGTAACTCTCCTTTTCCTTAGCTCACAGAAGAGGAAATTGCTACGATAGTGCAATCAACGCTGAAAGGACTAGAATACCTGCATTTTATGAGGAAAATACACAGGGACATCAAAGCTGGAAATATATTGCTAAATACAGAGGGACATGCTAAACTTGCAGATTTTGGAGTGGCAGGACAACTCACAGTAAGTAAACCCAAAATGGTTGTGTGCTCTTCAGCTTATCTTTTTAACCTGCATGCGAGTGTGGTGTGCTTGTGAAGACTTTGAGAAATTGTTCTAAACTGGTTATTAGCACTTTACATCAACATAATGAGATACTGGAACAGCAACACAGTAGAGCAGAGCTTCCTCTGTGGAAGCTGCTGTACCTGAGTAACGGGTTGCAATAACACTTGCTGTTTTCTTCAGGATATTTGTGACTTCTGTAAGCGCATTTCAATTCCTCTTTGCAGCCTTCCATATCCCAGCCTTGCTGAATCTAATAATGTGCGTGTGTGCAAGTGAAAGATAATTAGGGTGATAATTCATTAATGAATGTTTGTGGCTAATATAGTTACCGTTGTCTGGATCTTTATCCTGCTTCTCTTCTCAGGACACCATGGCGAAGCGGAACACAGTTATAGGGACCCCATTTTGGATGGCTCCAGAAGTGATTCAAGAAATTGGGTATAATTGTGTTGCAGACATCTGGTCCCTGGGAATCACTGCAATAGAAATGGCTGAAGGCAAACCACCGTATGCAGATATTCATCCTATGAGGGTAAGGACTGTGGTCTTTGGAAATGTATTGCTGTATGGAAAGGATTTGCTGTTACAGCTGGCTGAATAACATAGCAACGTGCCATCTTGCTTTTAATTTGGAGGAAATGATTTGTTTTCTGTCAGTTCTTTGTACTGGTGATTAAATGAAAAACAGGTCTTTGAGGAGAATCTGCATGGGCAGGAAAATCATGATCTTCTGTTAAGACATAGCTGAAGCTCCCTGTGTTGGGTGTGAAGAAATGCATTTTCAGCTGTATTATCCAAAGCTCTTTTTTTTTTTTAATGTAAGCACAAATTTTTAAGACTTAAAACCAGCAGATTCACACCTTTTGAGGTATATAATGGGTCAGACAGAAGTGTAAATACTTAGTGAGAAAAGTCTGATTTCTGGCTGCTTGATCCCTCTGAGCACATTTGTGTCTAATATTGGCACAAACTCTTCAGAAGCAGCAAACTTGAAATATCTGTCCTTCCTTAGTACCAGCATATGTTTGTGTGTGTATCTGTGTTGTATTGTTAGAAAGCTTGAAACTGAAATCTGGAATAAGAAGCAGCAAACTTGAAATATCTGTCCTTCTTTAGTACCGGCATATGTTTGTGTGTGTATCTGCGTTGTATTGTTAGAAAGCTTGACACTGAAATCTGGAATATTAGTACCAGCATATGTTTGTGTGTGTATCTGTGTTGTATTGTTAGAAAGCTTGAAACTGAAATCTGGAATATTTTTCTTTTTTCAGGCAATCTTCATGATTCCTACCAATCCGCCTCCAACATTCCGGAAACCAGAGCTCTGGTCAGACAATTTCACAGACTTTGTCAAGCAGTGTCTGGTTAAGAGCCCAGAGCAGCGAGCCACCGCCACGCAGCTGCTGCAGGTCTGCCTTTTCTTACAGGAACTTTAAGCCCTAGAGAAGGCTTGTTGGGGAAGGCAGCGCTGCCTGTCTCTTGACATGTTGGTTTCATTTCTTGCCGTTCCTGCTCGCTACAGATTTTACTTTTTAATAGCTCATTTTAAGAGATCAACTTCAGCTTTTCAGTTCTTCTCTAAGAACCGGTCTAACTTCAGCTTCCTGTCTGTGTCTTCTCTGGGTCACTTTTGTTTGTTTGTTTGGCTTTTGAAATTTTTTTACTTTCAAATTCTCACCAGCGCTGCCAAGAAACTGCCTCCTAAAATGCTAAAAAGGGGAGGCTAAATGAAAGTGATTTGTTGGTCTAGGCGTGGTGATGATCTGTGTAATTGGTTCTTGACAGCGAAGCTGTGAAGGAGAGAAATAGAGTTTAGCAAGGGGAATGAGCCCAAGGTCTCACAGCACTGGTGCCTCTGGAGCATGTTTGGAGGGTGGGAGATGCTCCTCCTGGGTCAAAACAGAAATACTGGGCTTTTATTTTAGTAACTTAGGGAGTTAAACCTTAATTTTCATTGGAAGTAGGCCATAGTAACAGCATTTTACTGTTATATCTTGGTTCGGATGTGGTGCTTATTTGTTTTTAAAATACTTCTTAGCATCCATTTGTGAAAAGTGCCAAAGGAGTGTCAATCCTGCGAGACTTGATTAACGAAGCAATGGATATCAAGCTGAAACGTCAAGAAGCACAACAGCGTGAGCTAGATCAAGATGATGAAGAAAATTCAGTGAGTATTTAATAGCAACAATGTACTAAGTCCAAACTCTTGCTCATTTCGTAAGGCTTAGCTGCTTTGGGTTTTGGTTTTGCAATATTTTGTCCAATTGCCTATGGATTTGACCTAGTTCTTGAGTTTTCTACTTTATGACTGCTTAAACTGAGGCTTGGCCTCTGCTCAATGTTTGTATTTGAGTGGGAAAGCCAGCGTGGATGGCTTGCTGCTTAGCTTAGAGTGTAGTTAGAGATTTGTGATTGAAAAAGCCTGCAAAGTAGCATATGCACAACACTTGATACGTTTTTCCCAGTTGGATATTATTTATGCAGTAATGAGAATTTTTCATTGTAGATTCAGTTCTTAGACTGTTCTCCTTGTATAAAATAATAATATCATGTGTGATGCACTATGATATGAGTATGTTGTGTTGTTTTACTGTTGTTGTGCTTTAGAACCCCCCTTATAGAAACTTTCTACTACACAAGAGCAACCGGCAGAAGCCTGAGGTGAGGGCATGGCAAGTGTTCAGGGGATTGCTGTGAATTTAAGTTTGGGCTCCTTGTTTCAGTGATTCCAGCATGTGAATATGGAAAGCATGTTGAAAGCTGTTTTTTGAGCCTGCCTGCTTCAAGCTGAATAAATGAAACGGGCAACAAAAGGCATTGTATGCCAGAGACCTTCTCAGAAGCTAGACTTGAATAGCATGGTCCACTGTATCTATGCTGAAGACATTGTTTGTCTGGTTTTCCAGTTCAGGAGTGCCTATTTGTTCCATGTGGAAGTAACTTTATCAATCACGTTGCCATGATGTTGACTCTACAAGTGTTGTCCCTGCCCTCTGTCCTTCATTTCTGACCGATCTGGAGTCAGGCTGCTGAGAGATGGTGTCTATGTAGTGGAGCTGAGTGGTTTCTGTCGGTGTGTGTGTTTCCCTGAATCTTCTCTGCTCTCTGCCTGCCAGGAGGAAAGTGTTCCCAGGCACTTCCCAAGTGCTGTGGAAATTTCTGCTCTAGTCCTTTGTTAAATGATGTGTAGCTAACAAATTTATTACTTCCTCTCACCCACTCATCTCCACATAAAATTACTTTTCCTCCATTAACATCACATGTATTTTTCTCCTCTTGCTATTGGTTTTGAGGTTGGGAAGTAAATTACATTGACACCCTTGGCAGAACAGATAAAATGAATGAAACACCAGGATGTGGAGGGGTGTCCTTCTTTCTTTCAATGACATTGAGATGGAGAATTGCAGTTTGATGTACAAGACCTGTGTGTTCCCTATAGCACTAACACAGATCAGTAAGCCCATGGTCACGCATAAAGAGCTGTGAACTTATAGCAAAACGTGAGCATCTCATCCAAGGTGAGGTGCTTAGAACTCTGCTGTAAACCTGGGGAGGGTTGTTGTAGTTCAATACCTGGTCCACAGTTCCAGAAAATGAAATAGATTGTGGAAATGTTGACCTTGTTCTTCATGAAATCGCAGATGAAACACCAGGATGTGGAGGGGTGTCCTTCTTTCTTTCAATGACATTGAGATGGAGAATTGCAGTTTGATGTACAAGACCTGTGTGTTCCCTATAGCACTAACACAGATCAGTAAGCCCATGGTCACGCATAAAGAGCTGTGAACTTATAGCAAAACGTGAGCATCTCATCCAAGGTGAGGTGCTTAGAACTCTGCTGTAAACCTGGGGAGGGTTGTTGTAGTTCAATACCTGGTCCACAGTTCCAGAAAATGAAATAGATTGTGGAAATGTTGACCTCGTTCTTCATGAAATCGCAGTCGCAATATATACTTGGTGAAGCACACACCACCTAATGAAGCTACTACCTCTGGCCAGGAAGTTGTCCTACCAGAATTTGTTTCAGGAGCCCGTGTTTTCCTGCAGAGTCAGTCTCTTAAGCCTTTACAGCAATAATTCAAACTTCTGTAATATTAGTACCTGTTCAGAAAAGAAGTAATTTTCATCTGAAAACAATGACTAGACTTTGAGAATTTAATTCCTTTTAAAGATTTGCAAATTCAGTTCTTTTTTTTCTTCAGTGCTTCTGAAGTTTACAGCAAGTAAAACTACCTAAATATTAAAGACAAACTCCTAAAAAATAGGGTGATCATTTTTTCTTCAGTGTGCCACGTGTGCTTCAGACTTAGACCTGTGGTGCTGAGGGACATGATTTAGTGATGTTTTTTTATCAGAGTTAGGTTGATGGTTGGACTAGATGATCTTAAAGGTCCCTTCCAACCTAGACAATTCTATAATAACTAATGACTCCTCAGTGAACTGTACCATTTGAGATAGGGGGTTTAGGTCAACTTAAAACTAGCAACATAAATACAAACAATAATGATTGGATGACTATTGTAATGTACTCTTACAGACAGGTCACCAGAAATGAGATACAATTTGCATTGAGAAGCTTTTGCTGATTACTTATTTGTTCTCTTATTTATCAAGCTGACAGAAAAGTCTGAAGACTTTTCATTACCTGCTTGGAGATGACAGGGAGAGAATTAAGTGTATAAATGTAAAAAGTCGATGGCTTCTGTGTGTATTTGTAAAAAATCTCTGAATTAGTAAGACTTGCCAGTGTCCTTGAATACAGACACTCTTCGTGGGACCTCACCACCATCAGTAAAAATGTATTTGTGGCGTCTTTGTGTAGGAAGAAGATGAAACCGATTCAGGTACCATGGTGAGGGCGAGTGGAGATGAAACTGGTACCATAAGAGCTGTCAACACAATGAGTGATGGAGCCAACACGATGATAGAACATGACGGCACCTTGGAATCCCAGCTGGGTACAATGGTGATAAACACAGAAGATGAAGAGGAGGAGGGCACCATGAAAAGTAAGGAAACATCTTTAACTTCTAGAAAATTACTTCGGACCTACCGTGGGCGATGATATGTATTCTCAACCTGCTTTGATATTTTTGGTAGCTTATTGTGATGTCTTTTGGTTGGAGGGAGCTACAACTCTTAGGTCAGTGCTCTCTGGCAGCAGAGAAGAGAGACCCTTCCGAGGTCCAAGTTTCAAGCCGTTCTTTTTAGTCTTGCACTTGGTGTAGCTGTGCACAGTTTCCACAAGTTTCTGTGCTGATCAAATAAGATGATTCTAGCTAGTATGGGGTTTTTTGTTGATTCTTCTTTGTCTGTTTTGGCTTTTTCACAGAGCGTTGGGGAGGGAGACTCTAGCAAAGGGTTGGTAAAACATACGTGCTGCTTTAGAAGTTGATCTGGCTGTAAGCTGGTATCTGAAAACACAAGTCTGTTTCAGAACTGATGCATCAAATCAAGGGCTACACCTATGAAATGAGAAATACCCTGCATGCTTCCAGCAAGGCACAGTAGGAGGAGCTAGGATCTCTTCAGGCTTGGTATTCCTTTAGTGCTGCTTTATTCACTAAGGAAAACTGAATAAACTGTGTGGTGGTGTTCTGAGACATTCAAGTTGAAATCTGTTCTACCCTCAAATAGAAAAGCTTACTGAAACTACTAGCCTTGTCATAGGATTTAAGATTTAGAATGATGTGGCTTTGATCCCTGATAGTCTGTGGAAGAGCTCACAGCTTGTCCTGGAAAAGGGTTAAAAATGCTTTTTTAAGCAGGGAGATGGCAGGGAGAGCCTTCCTGGAAAAGTATGACGAGAAGAAAAAGAATGTTTTCTCAATGATGGATTCTCACAGAAGTCCATTCCCCCTGATGTGGGTAGTCTGACAGTATGGAGGCAGAGGCAGTCGGAGATGACTCAGCCTGGCCACCACGGATGTTTGCTCAAGGACTGAGGAAAGTGCTGAGTGAGGGCTCAGCAGTGGTAAAATATGGCCATCATAGGCAAGGCTTGTACTTTTGGCTCTGGCTTTCCTTGTGAAGACTTCCTTGGCCATCTGATTTTGAACCTTTCGTTATTGTGGGAGAGGAGAAAATTCTCCACAGGAATTTCCGTGTTGAAAGCTTCTTCCATGTGAGGGTCCTCTAGAGCTTGTGGAGGGATGCTGGTTTTGAGAGTGAAATTTCAGGAGAACCTGTTCAAAGAGTTTTGCAAACTTTGGCAAATGCTGATTCAGCACATAACAATCCAGAGGTGTCAGCCTGTGTAGCAGCTTGTGGCATCAGTGATGATGGAGCAATGCTGTGGGGTTTTGTGAACAGGGTAGCTCTAGCAAGGAGACAGGGGGATGCTTAGAGCAGCTTAAGAGGTCAACCAAAGAGTGGGACGTGTTAATGGCCTTAAATAAATTAGGTGGAGTTGCTGTTTCTTTACAAATAGACAACACTGTTAATTTCTCATCATCAGTGTGTCTGTTCCATTTCATGATTCACCATAACAGAGGTTTTACTGTCTGTGGTGCTGCTGCTCCTGCTCCCAAAGGTGTGTATGTAAAGTGCCTCTTCAGTTTATCTTCCTGTGTTTAACATGTCCTTATCTTCCCACCATCCTTTTACGATTGCAGCTTGAAAGCGTCTATTTCTCTAGTGTGCAGAGGTTTGAGGAGATGACTTTGATGGTATCTCTCTTGCAAGGACATGCTCTCATTTGGAGTAGAATTGGTTATGAGGCTGTTGCAGTGTCTTTAACACGGTGTAGTATCTAACCATAGAGGGAGCTCCAGAACAAGCTCTCAGAGCTCTACATCTATGACTTGAAAGTTGAGTTTTTGCTTTTAACCCCGCCTGGACTTCGGACTCCTTAAACCCACTGTTGTGCTGCTGTGTGACAGCACTCCAAGCTGACGTGTGGCCAAAGGGTGTGAGCAGCTCTGCCTTCTGGAGGAAGCGTTGGAGCCCCTGGGTGCTGGCTGGCACCGGAGCCACGTCCCTCTTGGTGGGTTTCACCCAGCTGTGCTCCGTGCTCCCTCTGCTCCAGGTTGAATAACTTGAACCTTGCTTCCAAGAAAACTGATGTCAATGAAAATGGTTCTTCCCGAACAAAACTTAACTTTTCCTTGACCCCTTGCCATTCCCGCATTTATATTCTCTTAACAGTCAGTTAAATTAATTTAATTGTGAAGCTCAGCAGCCTGCTGCAGAACTCTCTGGGGCAAGTTCTTTTTGTAATCTTAAATGTAAATATAATAATCCTTGAAAACCACTGAGTTTGAAGAAGGTTTATTCATAATTTTAAAGAAGTCTATATTTACCTTGGCAACTTGTTATGGCTCGCAGTAAAACCTGTTTTAAGTCAATAAAAAAGTTCTGATAATTTTTTTTTTCTTGCATGGCATTAGTAGGAGAATTTAGCTTTCCTGCGTGTCAGGGGCTTTTTAACTGCAGGCTCTGTAGTAGTGGTCTAGCCCTTCCTCCTGATTTAAAAAAGTAAATATGTGTCTTTGACAGTTTTTGGCTTGGTTTTATTTCTTTTTAGGGTAAAAAGTGTTTATAGGGCATTGAAACATAACTCTGTAGACAGGATTGTCTTCGAAATTTCTAGCAAGCAGCTCCCAATAGCATTGAAAGTGACTCTTGCTTAAATCAATTCATAACTTTTCAGGCTCAGAGGAAAACCGTTCTTAAATTCTAGTATTTTACATTGTAGGGGAAGTTTTGTTTAGTAGTCAATTGAGCTGTAATTCTGTTTGCTGAAATTCTTTCGTTTGCTTGGCTTTTTTTCTGGGCACTCAATATAAATATCCAGGCGGCATTAAAAATGTCACTCTGACATTCTGTTACGCATTTTGAAAGCACTCAAGTGATTGCCTGAAACTGCAGATACTAAATTACTTATAAATCGATTGCTAACAGATTACTTATGGATTGCAGTTAAACTATTCCAGGAAAACTTTGGAAGAGGCTGAAGAACTATAGATGAACAATCATTTGTAATAACAGACATTTCCATTGTGCTTGAGAGCCAGAATAACTTTTGTACTGTGTATGTGTCTGAAATAATCTTTTTTAATTTTCCTATGAGAGAAGATATATAGTGCTAGTAAATAGCGTGGCATTTTTACTCTTTTTTTTTTTTCTGCTTTATTTGCTGTAGGTCTTTAGATAGTGGAAACTTGGCATGAGCTTGTCTCTTCGATTTAAAGAGTGGAACATAATTTTATAATAAAGCAGATAAACATATTGTCTTCCTTGGACGTTGCAATACGATCGGATCCAAGTGAAATGGGATCTAGTTTGTCTAGTGCTATAATCTGTCTTATTTTCTATGTTAAAGTGCCTCTTGCTTGTTTGAGCACCAAATAAAGCGACACTGGAGGATGGAGAACTGCCAACAGCAGCGTGAGTCGGGCTGTCTCGTCTCTGGGTGGAGGTGAATGAGGGGTCTGGAGAGGCTGGAAGAGTTGTGGGTGTGGGGTTTTTGTTAATGTGGCACACATTCAGGAAAGCATCTGCTGCAGGGGTAAACCAGAAGCTCTAATAGTTCAGTTGCCTCTGCCTTGATAATGTAATATGTAGGTAAAAATTTCAAAGAGTTTGTGAATGTTTAAAATAAAAAATTCTGGGCTTAATTCTTATAATAAAGCTGGGGTGGTTTGGCTTTTGTTATGCTATTACCTTACCCACGCTGCTAAGCCCGTTTGTCTCCTTTTGAAAAGATATTTCCCCTTTTGAGGGGAGATTGGGTTTCATTAGCAAATTAAATGAGCTGAGATGCAAACTTGGCAATTTCCTATTAGAAAAATGATTCAGTGTAAGCTTGTTAGTCTTGGTGGCTTTGTGAGACATCCAGCGGGTGACACTGAAACCCAAACCAGAGAAGTGTTACTGCCAAGACTCAGGAAACTTTTTGTCTCTGCTAATTAACCTGTAATTTTTCATGTAAAGCAATGGACAGCAGAATGAATGCAGATGGCAGAAGGTTTGTGTGATTGCATTAATATTATAATTGAATAAAGCATTACTGGTACGTAGCTGAGCTAGCTATAGGTGGTGGAATATCGATAGTTGTCCAAAAAATGCAGATGCAAATCACTAATGCAGGTACTGGAGAGAATAGCTCCAGTTTGTCAGGGTTTACATCACGTGTATGTCAAAGATACTGGCTTTGTTTTGCCTCTGTCTTTCTGAGCAGACAGTAGCTCTTCAGAGCTGTTTCCCACAGCTTAGTGTTATTAATGTCCAGTGGTGCATTTCTGTGTTTAAAATAAATTGGTCCATTTAGGCATAACCGGACCATAAAACACTCTTAGAGTTATGCATTTAAATAACACACTGTTTATAGAAACACCTACATTGATTAAATTCTCCTCGGACTGTAAGAAGCATTATACTGCCACTCTTGAGATGTAGAGAATATAAATCTTCACAGATAAGTCTTCCAGCTGTGTTACTTTTTGACTTTTATCTTAATAGCAGCCTCACTGGCAAACTTGGCATAAACAACGGCCAGCACAGTTTGTTTAAAAATATCAGGTTGTGCAGAAATGCAGACAATATTGTTGAGCGATGGGAACCATAGATGCTGTCATTTTTGTAGTTGGGTTTTTGCTGTAGATTTTGTTGTTTTCTGTTGGAATAGTGGGGAGCTACTAGACTTCCTTGTGGTGTCTTAGCGATCGAAATACTGGTTCTTTGCAGACTGAAGCATGAAGAAAAGCCAGTCTGGAGTGTAAGCTGGATGATTGTCCACCTTTGGTTGTCCTGAATGTTTGGCAAAGCTTTAATGCTAAGGCAAAGTTCATCATCTGTTAATATTTATATTTTCAGAAACACTGAAATTGGAGAAAGATGTATGTGTTTAACACAGCTATTTTTGCTGTTCCTAACACTTTATTACTATTCACCCCTGCATTTGTGATGGTGGGGGATAGAAAGTAGGGGGGTTATTTTTTTTCTGGACAGAAGCATTGTCTTGAGGAAGATGGGAGGTATGACTAACGGAGTCCTGAATAGCATACAG